TTGATAACTTTGTTCTTCCTAGATTTTTTTTATTCCCTAAGCTACCCAGACTGAATTCATTTTTTTCTATACCACCTATGAATTTAGTTTTTTCAACAAATGAATTTATCCTGAAAACATAGTATGTTTAATTTACATAATGAACTACTGAATTCCTAAAACACTTACTGTTCATTCCGCCTTTCCCAAGCTTTATAAATCCATTCTGGCTTCATAATTGGAGTACCTAGGCTCACAGCAACCTAAAAATATAAACATTAATTACATTGAATTTCTCCTTAAATAACTGCATTCAAGGAAGGTCTAAACAATTACATACTTTTACACAGATCACCGTTCATCTGCTTTGCAACAAAATATAAATGAAAATGGGAAAAAACTGTCTTTCAATCATATAACTTAGGTCAAAATAACTTAAAAACAAATTCCACAATGTCCAAATTGTTTCCTTATTTTAAATAAATATATCTCTGAGTTGATTAAGTTCATCTTTATTAAATTTCTATTTCTCCTTTCTTCACATTTGCTTCCTTGAAGTACTGACCGCCAAGATGGCACCGCAGAAGAAAACAACTGATTAAGTCACTAAAACCTCAGCTATGAGTTGAAAAGTTTAAGGAAAATTCAAGAGTACTCTAAAATTACCATTTGCTTCATAAATACACCAAACAAGGGTGAGACCAAATGACAAACTCTTGCTTAAATATTCAACTAACAATCTTAAACTAAGATTTCAATCCTAATAAAAGTATTTTCTCCTGTTCTTTTATAATTAAGAAGTTAAATCTTAGAACCATTTTATAACAACAGAGCTGTTTTTATAATGACCACTTAGATTTTGCTAGTGGGCACCTGGGGAAAAAAAATAAAAATTAAAAAAAAAATAAAGACCACTTAGACAAGAGTGAAATATCTGCTCTCAAACTTCATACCATGTTATTCATCTACCAACCCCCACAATCCTACTCATCTTTCAATGCCTACCTCAAGTTCTATTGCTTTCTTAAAACTTAACCACTCTTATGAGTTAATATTTTTACTAAATATATTCATAGCAAAAATTGAATTTTTGATCTTCAATAAATTGCAGGAGAAATAGGAGAAGAGTGCTATTATTAAACTCATCCAAAAATAATACTATATTGAAACATACAAAAATACCCAAGTTTACATACCCTAAATTTTTCTCCTTGTGTACAATTTGCCACCAAATGTGTAACTTTTGAATTGAAGTCTTTTCGAATTACTCCGCCCATGTGATGGACCAATGTCACCAATCTGACCTCAAAAGAAAAATTAAGCAACATTGACTTCATGATTAATTTGAATAAAATTTTAAACTATGTTTATCATTCATTTAGCATTTATTAATAGTAAACACTTTCTATTTTTAAGGTGCATACAAGATTTTTGTAGAGATGTTAAATTTTATGTCAAAAAAAAAAGCATTGAAAAAAGACTTGTTTGTATGCTAGCATGGGCAAAATTACACGTAGAGATGACCTTAGTAAAGACCATCACACAAAACTAAGTTAATTAAACAACTGGCCTTCATACTACCTAAATTTATTGCTGCTTTTTTAAATACCACACTGCCTAAATATATTGTGTTTTGGTTTTTTTTAACAGTAGGTCATAGCACACCAAGATTCTTCCCACAAAATTAGAGTAATACCCATTAGCTCTAACACACAAAATACTGTGAACCAAAGAAAAGAATTTTCTATGAATTTTCTAGGGCAATAAGAATAACTTTGAGGCTGGACTTGTATAACAAAAAAATGCAGTGTATAAACAAAAACTTCAAATAATCAATGTAGCTGATATGACACTTAACAAGACAGTTAAGCAGAACACAGAGTTATGAAATTTTTATGTTAATTCATATCAGGCATCCTAGACAAAACATGTTTCTTTACAAGACTCTTCAGAATTTATTTCTTCACAAAATTTCAACCTTGCTATAGCCATAGTATTTTCTCCTTTAATATCTTTAAAGTAAAACTGTAATACTAAAAAGAAATAAAAAGCCAATTTAAACTTATTTTGCTGGAAAAAATATGCTTTTAATGGAATTTGTGCTATAATACTTACTAGTTCTTCTTTCTTTCGGAATCCAGTAAAGCACAGTACTAGATTCATCATACTTGTACAATACAATGGGCGACATGAAAATGGCAAAGGCTGAGGATATAAGAATTTTAAATCTGTGAGCTTTCTTTTTAGTAGAAAATACAACTTTCTCACTCTAAAGATATTTCCCCTCTTGCCAATCAACTTTCCCAATCCACAGATTTATTGGCATTTTTCCTTTTTCTTTTTTTTTTAAAGACAAGATCTCACTCTGTTGCCCTGGTTGGGGTGCACTGGCATGATCATAGTTCACTGCAACCTCGAACTCCTGAGCTCAAGTGATCCTCCTGGCTCAGCCTTCCAAGTAGCTAGGGCTACAGGCACATGCTACCATGCCCACTTAATTCTAAAAATTTTTTTGTAGAGGCAGAGGTCTCGCTATGTTGCTCAGGCTGGTCTTGAACTCCTGGCCTCAAACAATCCTCCCACCTCAGCCTCCCTAAGTGCTAGGATTACAGGCATAAGCCACTGCGCCCAGCTGGTGTTTTTAATATGTAACAAAAAAAAGCAAAAAAATGGACTGCAAGCATCACAATAAAAATGATCCCATGATTTTCAAATTAAACTTAACATAATCTAAATATACTTTACTATCAGCAATCTAAACAAAAAAAAATTTATATCTAAACTTTTTGTTTGAAAATATACTGACACATGAAGTATTGTCTATAAGCAAAAATTTCAGATTCCATACACTATTGTAAATGATTCCTATTAATGTTATTAAAATAGGTTAAAGGTATTCTATAATAAGCATTAGTAACTACAACACATATACTTAAACCAAATATGATTCCAATTTTTAAACTAAAAAATGGAGATATTCAGTAAATAATTTACCCAGTGGTTTTATATATATACACATAATATTTATATACACACCAGAAAGACAGAGAATGGTTTAAAAATAA